CCCGTTAACAAAGGACTTCCAGCTTGCCCTGAAAAGGACCATCATGCGCGTAGGATCCGAAAGGGCCATGTGCCTAACGGGTCGCCCAGCTTGATGCGCGGCCATGTGTCATGAAAGCTCTTTATGAGCACCGGCGACTCATTGATTGGGATTACCAGGCGTGATTCTTGGTGCTGTGTTCGTCATATCTTGATGGCGTTTAAGAGGAGCCCCGTGAGGCTCAAAACCTGTGGAGCTTGGTGTTGTCCCAATTTGCGCCGTCTCCTGCACAAACAGCTCGCAACATATGTCAACACACAAAGCCCAGATAGATGTGCTTACACTAGCTTCCGGCAGAAATGAAAAGAAGCTGTTTGTTGCGGACGAGACATGGGCCTCCATCTCCAAGGTACAAAACATGGGTTTTAAGCACCTGGATCCGTCTGGCCAATTTGAAGTGACTTTTTTCTTTGCGCCGTGCGGAGAAGTTTATTTGAGCAGGGCTCCTGAAAAGATGCATTTTGCCCATTTGAAACATGGCTTTTTCCACCAAAATAAGGGGAAACCACCATTTACAAGGCGATGTTCAGGTGTATATTCCCATGGCTTCCGGCCAAGGAGATCATGGTGAAATTCCTGGAAAAGATCAGCGCGTGGCCTGATGCAGAGACCTGGCGATGCGATTCCCTAAAGAAAAACAGGAAGACCCCAGACACAGACATACACCAAAACCCCTTCAACGAAGCATCATGGCTTCCTTTAAAGCACTCACAGGCAGGGTAACAGCTTTGCATAAGCTCTGGTAACCATTAGTTGCAGGTGCCGGTTTGGTGGCTTGAAATAGTTGAACCTCAGATTCTTGTAGACGGTACATGGGGCACAAATCACCAATTCGAGGGATATGCTGTTTCTGAATCTCGCCGGTCCAAAATCGCAACCAGTGGCCGTCTTGCCTCTACAAGTTGGGGGTAGAAACATCGAGCGGCCAAGAGCCTTCATCATGACGCGCTTCGTCGCTCCTGGCCAGGCGACGCATGGCAGATGTTCATATTGTAAATAAATGTTCATGGCTCGGCCCAACGTAGATTGAAGACGTTGGGCCAGGCGGCAGGGCCAAAGGCATCATTCAGACACCGCCTTGCGCTTATGGCTCCAGCCAGACATGCGGCTAGGGCCATTCAGTTGGCAGCATGTGTTCTCAGTTGAAGCCCAGCTGCAAAACCAACATGTCAAGGCGGGCTGTTCTTCAGCAGAGCGTCGGGCCACAACATTTGGATACTTTTCGCCTACTGGCGCTTTGAGTTGGGCTTCACCAATGCAAAGTTGCAGCTGTGTTGCGGACCCAGACCCTGAAAACGTGAATGCAGACCACATAACAGCTGTGTGAGGCATTGCATCTAGTCCTGTTTGAGAACAACTTGCAGCATAAAAGTGCCTTCCAACATGCACGTTAAACACACTACTTCTGCAGATTTGCAGTAGTGCAGCCTTCCTTTTGCTGACGTTTGCGCCACAGCTGCGTGGATCTCGGCGGGACCGGATAGGGTGCCACCCAGCGATGACAGCCAGATTTGGCCACACTCAACGCCTGATGGTTTGATTTTTTTGTGGGTTAGCATGGAGCAAGTAATGGTTCAGCACTGGCTCGATTTTATTCTCGTCAGATCCATGTGTCTAAGTAATGAGTGGTTGGCATCGGACGCTTGAATAGAATACCGTGTGCAAGTTCGGTTTAGCATGGGATGGTCATGAAACTCCGTAGATATGTTTGAAGATCAAGTTTCAGATAATTCAATGTCTGGTCCACACATTGCAGTAGTGCGAGCTCAGCGCGGGGTGAGCAGAGATGTTTCGCAACACAACATTGCTCTCTGAACTCTTATTTGCAGTGTACTACGTTTAAAAGAAGCACTTCCATCAACAACAGCAGCTCCAACCACCGCAGCAGCGAAGCAATCATTAGCAATAACAGCAATGACTGCCATGGAAACCTAACTAGGTGCACCATCAACGGCTGTGGTGTTTCGGCACATTGCGCCCCCAATATTTAGGCTTGCTTTCGACGTTTAACTGGTTCTGCGAGAAGCACAGTATCTTGGCCGCTTGAACGTTGATTCCTATTCCACACACACACACATTGACAACACAAGTTGAACTTCCCAACTAATTGTTCCTTCACTTCGTTTGCAATCGCAAGTCTGCCCCACTGGAAAGAACCCGGCTTCAACACGTCATTTGTTTCGCCTCAGCAAAACGCTTGTTTGCAAGGGAGCCCAGTTTCCAACAAACCCCCAAAAGCCCCGCCCAGCCAAGCTTTCCAGCTGCGTGTTCGCCCTTAGGGCCTGGTTGGCACAGGTAGTGACCATCATTCAGTCAGTTCAAACTTTGGTGGCTGAGCGGGCAATAGTAACTAAGTAAACATCACATCTGCCCAATCAAAAAGACCCACAAGTTCACCAAAAGAGGCTCGCGGCATGTGCCCAAGTCAATCAAGCTATCTAGATACGACGCATCAGAAAATAGTAATAATAAACTTCAGCATGGTGGTGTGAGGAAAACCGGGCCCGAATCGGACAAACAGATGACTATAATCAAGGCAAAACAAATCATGAGTGTGGTCTTCACAACGGAATTATCGCCCCCAACCCGCCCCCAAAACCAGCACGTCCATCCGACAATGAATGAGCTCGCCACGGCCGTCTACGGCGCGTGTGCCAACTACATAAAAAGACAACTGGAATCGGCATTTGGGGAGAGCAGTTCCCATGTACCTCGCTGAAAGTTGTGTTTTGCGTGCGCCTTCATCTAGGTTTGGGATGATCCCAGCCTTCCAGTTTGCGCTGGGACATCAAGTGCTTCAAGGCCTTGTGACGGTGGGCCGCTACGATGGCAAGAGGCCCTGCTTGTCCGCGGGCACCACGGCGGGCAAGGTCTTGATCCACTGCCCCCACAACCGCATCGAGAATCCCCAGAACGAGGCAGGATGTGGGGCTGTTTTGTGGCGAGCTCACTTATTCTGGTATATGTTACTTGAATATTTTTTAGATTGGACGTTTGATTTATTTTGAATGAATTATCAAAAGTTAGCAATACACAAAGGATCAAAAGGGTGAAATTCAGACTCTTTTTCTTGCAGATGCTGGTGGCTCACAAAGGGGACGCCTAGGAATGGTTTCCTTTTTGCCGTTGTCCCCTACTTTGGGGCACCTCCAATTGTTTTCATGCTATGATTCGTTTGCAGAAACTGGCAAGCAGCAAGTCGTTCGCTCAGGTGATGTTCTTGAACATCAACCGGAAGATCACGTCAGTGGTCTCCGGCGTGCTGAACCCTGCACTTCAGCGTGACGTTCTGATGGTGGGCACGCAGACTTCTTTGATGGTCTACGACGTGGAGGAGGGCGTTTCAAAAAAAAATGGGGCGCCCTTTAGGTGGCGTTTGTTTGATCCAAGTTTTGGACACCAGGAGAACGCGGACCTTTTCTTCAAGGAGGTCCACGACGGTGTCAATGTCATTGCTTTCGGGCAGCTTCCTTCGAACCTGGGAAGCAATCAGCCGAGCAGCTGCGAGCCAGTTTTCACAGAGGTACGCGTGGTTGAGATGTCCCAGGGTCAACAGCTTTGAACTCTTGCGTAACATAGTTATATAGTTGAGCTAACCTGAAGATGCAGGCAACGGCTAAAACCACAAAAGTGGGACCAAGCTGCATCATGACCTCAAGGTTAAGGTTGGCAGCAAGATAATGCTCTCAGAAACATCATAAGAGCCGAAGTGGCGGAATGCATGAACATTAGTTGCTACTGGTGCAGACTTGTCCTTGCCCGAGAAGTGAAGCATCCCCTTTTATCATCCCAGCATGTTTCAGGTTGCATCTCTCAGCTTTGATTTCCTGCATTGAGAAGCCAGCCAGTTTGTCAGTGCCGGCCATGTTAACCCGAGGAGCTGTGTTACAGGCAAACCTGGTCGCCAACACGGTGTTGCCCCCTATAGAAGGCATTCCCGAGCAGCCGTTGGAGTACCCCATGGGAGTCTTGTGCAATTTCCTTGACTTGCAAGGGCGTTAATCAGGTCCATGCAAACATGCCGCCCCTTGGCCATTCTGAATGTGAATGAAACAAGCTGATATCATGATCCTTATGACGCCTTGCATTTTGCTTCCTGGCTGGGCCTGGAATTTCTGATCAATTTGATCAATTCCCCCCATTTCTCCGTGGACTCATGCTTGCGAGGATCGAGCAGCCCCTGTGCGTGGTGGGGGGCAACTGCTCCATCCAAGCCTTCGACTTTGAAGGTAGCGAGTTGTACTGGACGGTCACGGGCGACAACGTGAGCGCTTTGGCCTTCTGTGCCCTGGAGCGATCAATGTACACCCAAGCATTTCTGCCGCTGTTTCTGCGCACTCTTTTAGATTTTAGCATTTCTGCCGCTCTGTTCTGCAGCCTTGAAGAAATTAGAGCCTTGCCAGTGCATGTATCCAATTTGGAATCGAGAGCAAGATTCACCAAGGATAATGTCAGACGAACTGAATCCATGCGGGTAAAAACATCACAATGACTTCCCTCAGGTTGGCGCACAAAGGTGCTGCATTTCAAGTCGAAAAGCGGTGACAAAAGCTGCTGCACCCGAAAGGTACGTTTGTGATTGCATCCCTGTGCTGGCAGTGCCTTTTGCTTTTCAGCCACAAGCAAGCTTCTAGATGTGATGCCATGTTGGAGAATGGAGAGACTACGGAAGTGGTAATCCAATGACGGCAATTTCCAAATGCCCGCCCCGTTTTCCACAGGCTGTAGTAGAAGGAACCATGTCTGGGGAACTCCCCATTTAGAACAACCCAGATTGAAGGACCTAATTGTTGTTGTTCATGGGCGGTTGCAAGGATGTCAAATGTTGACTGCTTGCTGGGTGGGAAAATTAGGAACCCTGTCGTACCACTTTCAATTTTTCAGATGTTGAAAGTCGGCAGTGTGTGGGGGGGAGGCATTCTTCGTTGATTCTCTCCCAGGCGACGTGGACGATGACGGCCACCCAGAGCTGCTATGTGGCACTGAGGACTTCGAGATCAGAGCTTTGAAAGCTGAAGAGGTCCTCAAGGAGAGGCGATCTGCTTTGGCAAAAAGGTTGAGCTTGTACTTTCATGCCTCGGCCTTGCAGTTGTATAGATAGCCTGGTAGCCTCGCGATGGCGGTGAGCATGCAACAAACAGCTCATACCATGACACACCATCCACGTACCGCATGTGGTTTGCCCAAAAAGCTGCTCAGCCACTGGCACTTGTGCGTAAGCAGGCAAGCCTTCACATGGAACCATGGGCAGATAAGTAGCCGTGTCTTTGCACCTTGGTGGGCTTCTTCCGATGGCTAGTAGCCATCAGCGGGCATAGGAGATCACAGAGACGGACGTAGTTTTGCGCATCGAAGCCCTGCACAAGAGCCGCTTCGCCTATGCGCTGATGCACGGCACGGTGGGGGTCTACGATAAGCTGACCAGAGCTTGGCGTGTGAAGTCCAAGAATCGGGTCAATTGCATCGATCCATGGCCCAAGAAAGGCGGGGGAGACTGGGGTCATTATTTTCACGGTTTCCGGCTTCCGGGGGTGATCAAAGTCAGTAAATGGGGTTGTTTTCCTTTAACCCACCACTTAGGGGGTGACTTTGATCATGGTAAAATAATGAGGCCAGGGAGATGTTTCGGCAAGCTGAAACCTTCCTGCCAGTTCGTCATGATGCCCATTTCATTTGCTTTGTCACCTTAATAACGCTGAGGAATGGCTCGAATTTGCAGAAATGCACCTCCTGTATTCCGCGCCAGTATGCATGCATAGAAATTAAGGTAGGAGCATTGCCCTTGTTTAAGGCAGAACATGCCCTGAGCCTGTTTTTCATTTGCACCGACGAAGCTGCTATGTGAGCAGCCAGGACTTCAGCCTCACTTGGGAAAACCAGAGGTCAGCACACAGTTTGCCCCCAGCCCCAAGTGCAACCCGCTGATGGCTGATGATGTGGGGAGACTTTGGAAAGCGTGTTTGTCTACGGATTTCCGGGCTCCAAACTCCCTGGTAGGTTGTGTGCATCCTACACATGCCAAGCTTCCGCTTTAGTCAGCACCCCGCACGAAAGCATGAGGATTGCTTTGACCTGGACAACGATGGTGTGCCGGAGGTCATTGCGGGCTGGGAGAATGGAAAGGTGGAGGTACGCAACGAGAAGACCGGAGACTCAATTGCCTTCAGCCTTCATTGTTTCCAAAGCGGGCATGATTTGGCCTGAAGCGCGGCCAGATGTTGATTATAGATTCCGGTTGATTGTGTCTCTGCATGTTTACAATACGTTTATCCACCCAGTAGTGCGCAACATATCTCCCATTGACTATCCGGACGCTTTGCCGTTCGAAGTGCAAGTAGATGACATGAAGACCTCATTTAGCCAGGCTCAGCCCTCCTTTCTCACACGTGTTGCTCAATTCTCACAAGTCAAATGTGCCGGTTGGACGCGTTCAGGGTGGCTAGGGTTTTTAGGGCTTAGGTTAAGTTTGTTTTTGCTTTCGGGCTTTTTAGGCAAAGGTTTGTTAGGGTTTAGGTTTATAGTTTTCTGGGCTTTGGTTTGGGTTCTTTAGGGTTTAGGGTGTTCGTGTTTTTTAGGGTTTAGGGTGTTATTAGGGTTTGGGTTTCTTGTGGTTTAGCTTTTGGTTTTTTTAGGGCTTAGGGTTAGGTTCTGGATCTTGAGGGTTTTTCTTTGGTTTGAGGCAAGCGAAATCACTTCCGTAGAAAGCCTGGATCTACGGTTGTATGAGAGGATCCATGCATGTTGAAACATAGATGGACGGTTGGATGGATGGATGGCCCAAAACACCCTCTGAAAAAAAGCAGCAACAACGATTCGTGAGAGAGGAGATGTGACTCGCGAGAAATGAGGGAATTCGACTTGTGAGAATTGAGTGCTTCCATTTAGTGAAAGCTGACCTGAAATTTCAATTAACTTCAGCATGAAGTCGGGACCCCTATGGACAACTCGGGTACATAGTTTGCCGTCTCGGGACTCGATGTATCAAATCCCAAGCATCACAAGCCAAGTGTAGACCACAGGGCAGTGCCCGCGCTGCAACACTTCTGAGCTGGCTGCAGAAATGATGATCTCGTGTAGAGATGAGGTTACCCATTGGACATTATGTGTTTTTTTCTTACAACTTTCATTCAAGCCATGAGGTCCTCCTGTAAAGGAGATACCGACTGGACATGTAGTGTTGGAAGGGAAGCAATGAGGATCTCGAAATGTGTGGGAGAGAGATTGGTGAACTAAGCCGTGAGGTTCTGTTGACAACCTGGAAATGTAATCCGAGGAGAGGTCATGTGCAAGGACTACTTCCAAGCCCCGGTGGCGGCCCTTGCGGCCTGGAAAGAGCAAGTTGTCGGGTTGTCTCTGGTCCCAAGACCTGATCCTTGTGCCTTTGGTGCTTAACATGGAGTTTGTTTGTGTGTGTTTTTTTTTCTCGGGGCTTCGGCTAGCAGAGCACAACTTGATTGCTGCACATCAGTCAGCTTCTTTTTTAATGCTTTGAGAGAACAGGGCAGCGCAACTGCCCAGCCGGGCAGCTGGTTGTCCAGAAACCTGTTGGCTTCCATAGCTTGATGGGTGGGGGCGAGTGCGCTCCTCTGAAGTGTGCATGGGATGCACTGTTGCGTCAGCTTGTTCATAAGGGGGTCGTTGTTTTTGCACGCAGGCAGTAAATCAAGTTGTTTCATGTTGTTTGCCAGGAGCGGGCAAACTCGTGCGCAGCAGATCCTGTGAGCCGATGTGCTTTGCATGGATTAACGCAATTTGGGTATACTTAGGAAGGGGCAACAACTTGTGCAACGCGCTGCCGAACATCATGTCAAATCCTATGTTCGCCATGTGCCAGACAAATTCATTGTTGCAAGAGACCCTGTGAATGTCTGGTAGCTGTTCGATAAATGATTCCAAGATCCTAAGCATTTCTATCTAGCCCATGACATACATCACGGCAAGGACCAGCATGTTGTACAAAAGCAGGCGCGGACAGTTTCCAGAGCACACGGCCACCTCAGCCGCATACCAGGCCTGATGCCAACAATATCGCACAACAAGCAGGTATGAGTTACAGGCCTGATTTGCGCTGCTTCCGCCCATTTCACTTTATATACTGTTTCGTCTTTGTTTTGTGGCTTTTTATGATGTGTCACTGGCTTGCATGGCCGTCTTTGATCTCACTCCATTCCTTGCAGTTCTTTGCAACGCTGGATTAGGCCCCTTTGACCAGCTGGTGTTCCAGGTGGAACCCTTGCTAGCCACAGCTGCACCTTCCATGTTCAATTTCCTATGGGCGGTAAACAACCCCATGCTAACCACAAAGTTCCGTTTTCGAGCACTCCTCTACCACCGGAGGTGTGACTCATTGCCTCATTGCCGCGGTTTCCGGCCGAGGTGCATGCGGACTACCGCCTGGATGGCCGGGAGACGCTGATGTGCCTCACTTCGGAGGGGGACGTCAGGCACGGATTGGGATGGCTTGGGATGGCAACGTGTTTGGTTTAGACGGTGGCAAGAGCTGGGTGCTGCTCAATAGCCCACATAAGCGTCTTAGATTGATCCAAAGGGAGGCTGCAAGGGGATGGTCAATTTCTCGTATCTCCAGTCTGAAAGAAAGGACCCTGAAAGGGGATCCATCATGAAACCAATCATTTGCCGAGGCCCGTAACTACTTCCGACTTAGTCAGAAGGCTTTGTCAACAGGCAACAACAAGGGTTGTTGAAATTAATGTTGCTTTTTCGCAGTAGAAGTTGTGCAAATGGTCCCCAACAATGAGGTAAATCGCAAAGGCGGCGCTAGATTCGTGATAATGCTGGAGGCAGTGGCGGAAGGATATTAGCAGGGGACTGGCTGGGAGTCTTTCGCACGAAGATTCCTGTCCTCGGTCGTCCAAAGCTTACCTTTTGACCGTTGTCATTTTGGTTGGCCTACTCGTACGGCAGCCCCAATTCCATCACCTTTGCTGCACCGGTGATGGCCAGAAATGTCGGGTTTTGGGTGAGGATTACTAATCCCCTTGATTCATATTAGTTATCCCAAAATGGAAGAGCTCGGGGTTACGCAGGTTTTAGTTTTTGTTCCCATTTACCCAGGCGCCATTTTCATACGTGTTTTTTTGTTTTCGCCGCGGAGTGGATCGATCCGCCTTCGGGGGCGGCCAGGGGCTGGCTGCCCTCCTCCAGCGGCGCGGAGCACAGCGGCCTCAACACCGGGGCCGCAGCTGTGGAGGCCAAGGCGCGCGGGCGCGGAGTCGGATCTAAGGGCTGGCTCCAGGGGAGCTGCGGTGCCTGGGATTCAATCCACCATGAAAGCCATGGGGGCAAATGGGGGGCCTCGTAGAACCGCCATTCTTTCCCTAGCAACATTGAGGTGAGCAATGGCGGACGGCTGTGGGCCCACCAAAGTCTCAAGTCATTTGGTTGTGATCCGCAGTCTTCATGGGAGGGCCAGGCTCAATGTCTTGTGAGCTTTATGGGATTCAAACCACCATGAGAACAATGGGGGCTCATACAACCGCCATTGTTTACCTAAGGATCGTCATCGTCCAAATTGGGTCAACCTTTCTGTGGGTTGAACCTAGCATGGTGCCTCAGCTCTTTTTTGGCACAAAAGCATATGGTGCCTTAGTACCAAAACTATGGTGCCTATGTTTTTGGCGCCCCGTTTTGTCCAAGACTCTCTAGGGTTGAAAAGCCCCCAAGGTGGGGTTTGGCCTGGCGCAATTGGTTTGTGGAAACAACTTTTGTGTACAACTTGTTTCCCCATCCCAAAACCGGATTTGTTCGACTCTCTGCTCCTGGATTTCTGGGCCCAAAAACAGGTTGGAAGGTTGGAAATCATTATTGAACGTGTGCTGCACCGTTGAACTGCAGGCAATACACGAAGCAAAGCAGAAGGTTTCGCAACAGAGAGCTGTTCGCAGAAAGTTTGCGGAAGCGTGTTGGCTGCACCTTCATTTTCGCCGGATTGTTGCAGACGCAAAGCTCGTAAAACAGAGTATGCAGAAGGAAGCGGAAGCAAACAGAGCCGCCTGTAGGATGTTTGTGTGTTCGGGGATTTACCTGAGAATGAGGTTCAGGCAAGTTTGGGGCTAAATTCCGAGGAAAGGGTGTGTCAACCAATGCTGGGTGCAAACTCTTGGGTCAGGGGACATTTTGAGCCAGCTTTTCGGGTTAACCATCGCCAAAAGTCAGTTTGTGTGGGGGGGGGGGGGGGTGATTTGTCCACAAACGATCCCAAAAGGCCAAGCCTCGTGTAGTTGGTCCGATGAAAGTACTCTTATGACTTTTCATGCCATGTCCTGGTCGGACAGAGGAGGCGAGAGGGGAAAGGGCGAGCACGGCCAACTGAGCAGAAGCCGTCGCTGCATGAACCCTGCTGTTTCAAACAAATGTCAAAGTGTTGTCGGAAAAAGGAAAAGAACATATCTCTGCCAGCAAGACGTGTAGAAGTCTTCAGGAGTGCAGTCCCTTGTTAGAAAAGCAGCTCACATGTCCCTGCCACTTTGGCGCAATGGGACCCGACAAGCAGAGAGCTCAGAGAGCTCCGAGAGCTGAGATTCTCCCGTTTTTTGCTGGGTGGTTCTCGAGCGGCGCTTGTCACCGCATATATATATATATACATAAAGGGTTCTGTTCTTCCCTTTCGGGTTGCAAGGGAAGTTTTTTGTTTTTGGCGCAGGAGAACGACGTGTGGCGGGAGCTCACGGCACAAAAGGCGAAGCTGACGCAGGAGCTCACCAGCTTCCAGGAGCAGCTGAAGCTGCTCGGTCCGAGGTCACGGAGCTTGGGACCCCACCGTTCGCTTGAAACAGCTCGGTCCATTTTTTGGTTGGGTTGGACCAGTTGTTTTTTCACGTCACATACATATATATATATATAGATAGATAATATATATATATATATATGTATTGTTTGTTTGTTCTTTTTCTTTGTCTTCTTCCTTTTTTCGGCCAGAGGGGTCGACAACCAAGGTTTGGTTTGTGTCAAGATGTTGCATGGGGCCAGTGGGCCCAGGCAAGCCATTGGTATCCAGTATCGGTTGGCAAGCAAGAGATTTCCTAGTTGTTGACAGGTAGTACAGGTAGTTTGGGCCACCTGCGGTACGTGTAAATTCATTTTAAATGGAATCACTAGGTTTTGTTTTGCCTATTCTTTGCGCACCCAACAAGGTTGACCTGATCATGGTTTCATCTCTATCTTGGAGGCCGACGTGAATTGGGTGGTTTCCCTTAAGGCTTGCCTGTACAAAGCAAAGGACAGGGTACCCTCAAAAAGACGCACACATAATGAGTTTCCAAATATGGGGCTTTTGTGTTTCCCGTTTGGCCTTCGAATTTCCATTTTCCTAAGAACAGTTGTTGGTTTGCAGGGGAAATATGTTCGCTTGTTCAAGAATATGTGTTCATGTTCCCCTGTTGTGTTTTTCAGGGGAATCCACCACTATTGGAATATGAATATTTGTTCCAGGTTGGTTTTGGACATATGTTTGTTTGTTTTGGGGGACTTAGGGAAATCCACCACTGGAATATGAATGTTTGTTCCAGGACTTAAGCAAATGTAAGTTGAGGTTGGCTCTCTGAGGCAATACAAGTCCGCCGGCAAGGAGACGGGCCAAGGCCGGGCTCGCAGGGCTGACGGGCCGACGGACGGGCGGAAGGACACAAAGAGGGAGGGAGATAGCGTACAGATATATATATATACACATATTGGTGCAGAATGTGTATATATATGTATGTATTATGCATTATATATATATGTATGTATTATGCATTCAATATGGATATATATATATATACTTGTGTTATTCTGACACACATTTACTTACACGCATATGCTTATTTCAGGTGGAAGGGCTATGCAGTTTGTGTTCACCGGGACGAGAGGTGTCATTCCCACGGACACCAAGCTGAACGCCTCCCTGCGCTCCAACAAGTCCCACGGCACCGTGGAGCTGCATCTCATGACTTCCAACTACTCCGCGGCCTGCCGGAAGCCGGCGAACGCCGACGACAAACTCGTTGGGGGAAAGAAGCCCCTCTTTGGGCTGAGTTAGGTTTCTAGAAAACGGTTTGGAGTTGCGATGTTGGCGGATTTCACCGGTTCTTCCTTTTGTTGGTTCAGGTTTTGGTAGTCCTTCTGTACTCCTTGAGCCCGAAATGACAGAGTAATTTGGCGTTTTGTTTCTTAGGCGGTTCGTAGAAATACTTGGCAAGTCAGTCGTTTCTGAGGATAACTTGTCGTTCTGTCCACAAAATTGACGTTTGTGTCGAGAGAAGGGCGCTGTGGTCACTGCTGATGATGCCAATGTGCATGGATGATTATGCTCGTGTTCAAAAAGCTCCCCCACATCACACAAATGCAAGCTTTCGGGACGGGTGTTTGCGGGTTTTTGCTGGTGTTTTGTTGGTTTTTGCCTGTGGGCAAACTCAGGCGTGGAAGCCTTCGACTCCTCAGACAGGAGTTTCACGGCGCGCTGAGTAGGTGCCCCTTTTGCTCAGTTTTTCGAAGATAGCTGTCACTCGTTTTAGTGTGGTTCTGTGGCATGTACCGCCCTGCCTGGCAATGGATGGGTGGCCAGACAAAGTCCTGGCAGAGTGGGTCAAGAGGTTCCATAGGGTGCCCTTGTGACACGTTGACAGCCGACAGTTTCACATCCTTTCACCCTTTGACCACTTTCTTATCCTAGCCATGAGGAGGAATGGCATAGACCTCTGTAGCTGCTGTTTGCTTCTTTGACTCGCCTGGAAATTGTTTCTGCAAATTTTATGTGTTTGGACAGCTGTTGCACGGCTTGTTTTTGTGATGGGTGCTAAATTGAACGGCCCTTTGTTGGCGTTCATGTTCCCAAAAGGAAAACAAGATCCAAAAGGAGATGGACCAGATCCCCTATATACTTGCTGGTGCTCAGAAAGCAGGGAATGACCCCTATAAACCATCCCCTATGTTTTGTTTTTAGCAATCCCCAGGTTCATTCCCTCATTCCCTACTGAGCACCAGCAAGTGTAACACCCAATTCAACGCCTGGGACTTCTGAGGTGATTCGTGCAGTGGTGATTTTCGCAGAGCACCTCTTCGATGGGGAGGCGTGCATGCTTCACCCCCTGCCGCCTTCCAACAACATCATTGTTCAGATCTCGCCGGCCAAGGAGTGGCGTAGATTCCCCTGCGGCTCCAAGCGCGGAATTTATATTATACTGTTGACCCCAGGTTGATAAATCCTGGCTGATTTTGATTGGGGATGTCCCCAATTAGTGGCGATTCAGACACTTTTGAAGGGAACCCCCCTAATAATAGGACGGGTTTATCAATCCAGGGTCAACATTAGGGTGTTTCTTAAACGGCCAACATGCCGTCAACGGGTTTGTCATATCGAGGGTTTGGGCCGTGCGCCAAAAAAAAAGCTTGGGTGCGTCGCTGACATCAACATGAAGCCAAGAATCTCGAGGAGTCTCTGGTTTTGATGCCTGCCCATTGAGGTGAGTAATGCGGACGGCTGTGGGCCCACAAAATCACAAGTCATTTGGTTATGATCCGCAGGCTGTCTTGTCAGCTTTATCCCCTGGGATTCAAACCACTATGAGAACAATGGGGGCTCATATAACCACCGTTGTGTACCTAAGGATTGTCATCATCCAAATTGGGTCCTTTGGCCTTGTTGATGGGGGCAAAGAACCCTCGATCCAGGACGTTCAGACCACCATGAACATCAAGGCGATGACCGGTGTGACGGTCAGCAGTGCCTCAGCCTAGTCGCCCTCAGCCGCCACTTGGCGCGTGACGTGCGGTGCTGGTGCTGCCAAGGTGTCCAGTACCACGTCTTCGAGCTGAACTATGTCATGCCCAAGTTTGCCATGTACCACCAAGTGGACACTGCCTCACCTCCAAGTGGAGCGGTGACATTTGTGGTCCAGGAGACTGCCTGCAGCTTGAAACTCAAGTTTGCGTGTGGGTTTCTCATTTGGCGTTGGAGACGTTGTCCACCGCTGACGGGGTTGTAAGGTTGTTTAATGTGGCGGAGTTGTGCCCGTAAGTTGGCAACAATCATTTCCTGCCGGGTATGACCCGCTGGAATCCTCGCGCAAATCAACTACAAACGTCCTCATGTTGGGGCGAGGGGGAACATACATGGAGAAGTCATCACTCTGAAGAACGTTTTATGCACATGCGCTTGTAAGGGTTGGCGGTGAGATGCAAGTGCGCGTGGCGCTTGTTCATTCAATGGCTGTGCGAGTGATGTGCGCGCATGTGTGTGATGTATGCGAGTGTGAAGTGTGACATGTGATGTGGGATGTGCGGATGGGAGGGGATGGGGTGGGATGGGAGGGGAGGGGAGGGTAGGGCAGGGCATTGGATAGGATGGGATGCTGTGTGTTGTGTGGGTGCATGTTTTGTGTGTGTTGTGTTGTGTGGTGTGGTGTTGTGTTGTGCTGCATTTTGTTGTATGTTGCATTGTGTTGTGGCGTGGGTTGGCCGGGTGCGTGCATGCGAGTTTGTGTGGGTGGGTGGGTGGGTGGGTGGGTGGGTGGGTGCGTTTGCTTGTGTGTTTGCTTGCGCGCGTGCGTTTGAGTGCGCTCGCATGGGAAGGCGCCAGACACCTGGTGTTTGTGCTACCGATAGTCTGGTCCACTTGGTCAGAATCAATGAGCCTGGGGGCTTTGACACTATGAAACCAACCTTTCACATGCCAAACTTTTTTTGAACATGCAGCCTTGAACTTATGAGAATCCCTTCTAACTTTTTGTTTGGCTTGGGTGAATCCACGGAACCTGTCCTTCAAATAGACGGAGACCAATAATATCACTTCCTGAGTTCATGAACTTTAAACTTTTGGGGTTTCAACCAATTGAACTTTGGTAAGCACAAGAAGTTCCAACTTGTTTGGGGCCAACTCAGGAAGTCAGACTTCGTTCTTTAGGGAAGGCCGAAGTCGTTCCCCATGGCAGCTCGTCCCCTTGGCTCGCTCTCGTAGGAGCGGCCGAATCGGATCTGGTCCTGGCTGCAGAAGTCCTTCATCAACATCCCGGAGCAGATGCCCTCGGCCTCGGGAACCTCAGCGCTGGAGGCGCCGAAAAAAACCAAAGAAAGAGAAGCATGGCAGAGAGGGCCGTGATTTCTTCGTGGGAAATGGGACATGCTATTTGGGATCAACTGAATTCTTCAATGTTTAGGTGCTCAATGCTCAGGTTTTGATGACCCTTTGGTGTGAATATCAATTAAATATTGTAGAGAAACGTGTAGTGGCCTCAGAGGGGGATTAGGATGGTTTGGCTTGCGACCCTCCGCAATAAGGACGCCTTTCTTGGAGGTGTGGAACAGTACGTAGTGATGTTGTTGAAGCATGCTTCACCCAAATGTTGCGGGTTGGTTCAAGAAGGACACGTGTGGCTGCATCTTTGGACATCTTTGGCCGATTTTCCCCAAAATTGAGTTGTAGCATATTTGTTTGAAATAACACCAACTGGCCATACCAGGGGTCCACGCTTGGAAACAAAAATGCCGTTTCAGAAACCCCCGATTTGCGTCGCCTAACGGAAGCCTCTTCCGGAAGCATCCTCAGACAGCAATTTACACATGGTCTCAGACATTGGGGCGTGACAATGGAAATATCCCTTTGTGCTTCCATGTAACCCGCTTCTTCAGGTGGCATTTCCGTCCTTTTAGTGGGTGTGCTCCCCACTAAAATGGTCAACCCAAGAAAGGGTTCCCTTCTACTGGTCGGGCCACTGGTTAGCTTGCTGGTGCGATAGGCAGGGAATGAGGGAATGACCCCTATGCACCATCCAAGGGAATCTGAGGGAATGACCCCTACGCACCATCCAACTGGTGGTTTCCTTTGAGGGAATCCCCAGGTTTGCCACATTCCCGTCCGCAGGTAAACTTCATCTCACTGCGCACCGGTGAGCCGCTGTGCATCTCCATGAGCAGCCAGCAGGAAGCTCGACGTGAAAAAACCTCTCTGCGCATGGCTGGGTTTTGGTGAAGCTCTCAAAGTAATTGAACATAACCGAACGTCCAAAGGGTGAATGCGAATTAGCATTCATAGCCAACTTCATGTGGAACCTGTCACGCCATTCATTTGTAGATGGAAGGCGGCCGGGGGGCTTTCAAGGGTGTGCCTTTTTGTCCTTGAACGGGGAGGGCGAACCGTGCCTTATTGGGGATTTGCATTGGAGGTGAGGGGGAAGGGAAGTGGGCCGGTTTGGGAGCTTGCTTAATTCGAATAATTTGGTTCAGGCCAAAGCTTGTTTCCAGAAGCTAGCTGTGTTTAGTATGAGGTTGTGTTGTTTTTTTTGTTTTAGTTTCTCTTTTTTTTCTCGGGTTCGCCTTTTTAATGGGTGAAGGTGTCGAGAGAAAGGCGTGGATATGGCAGTGCCAAGCTTTCACAGCCCGAAGCTCACGCCCGCCCTCCCTGACTCATGGAGATGGCGTTCAGTTCGCTGTTGAGCGGAGGGACCTTTCATCCTGAGGATGTCAAGCTGGAATTTGCAAGTTGTCAGGTTTGAACCCGGCGAGGTGAGCTTGAAGTCTAGCCGTTGCCTTTGTTCATTTGAGAAGCTGTTTTGTTTGCACACCTGTTCCGGGCTTTGGCATGAGCAAGCAAGTGCGCACTTGTCCGAAGCCGTCCCAAAGGTGTTCCAAGCTTGGTTCATATTTAGTCAAGGTTCCAAGGGTTAATCCTGGCCAGGTTGCTGCAAGTGACAATCTGACTTGGCCGGCCATGTTGAAGCACCCCGCGCGGCTTGTGGCCAGGCGGGTCTTATGACGGTCCGTACTGATGACATGGAGACTGCCGGGGAGATGGTGCAAGACCTTTGCGGCTTCCTCCAGGCACGGGCATTGCAGCAGATTCGATGGGTGATCCGCAGCTGGAGCAAAGACAACGTACGAATTGGAGCACGTTAGCAAATATTGTTCTTTGGTTGTTTGGTGAGTGCACACATGCACACTCGTGTTTTTTCGGAGTCGGTAATCCCTTCCCCGCAATAATAAACGCGGACCCCCCCCCTATTAGTAGGGTGCTGTGGGGTCGACCGGATTTCCTCTTCGGTCCTCGTCCAAATGGGCTCCCCCCTTCCCGAACACGAAAAACCTCAGAACCGCAATTTTCCGAGTAACGTATTTATGTAAAACCGTTGAAGTTGTTTTTTCTCTGTTTTGCTGTTCAAAAGTAAGGGCTGCAGTTTAAACTTACAATAACAGTCACGAAACACATGTAAATTAGGAAAAGGTAAGTATGAGTATTTGGAATTTGGTATTGGATTGGTGCAAGGAGCCCCCGAATAAGGGTGGGGCTGGTCAGGGTGGGACAGTGTAGTATTTGTTATGAATTGGGCTATTCTAAAAGTAGTATTGGGGACTCGGCTGTTTCAGCCAGTCTGGAAAAACCGGATTTATTACTAGGGTCCATTTATTAGAAAGGGGAAGGCATTATCACGCACCGATTCTTTAGATTGGCCCCTTTAAGGGACAAACCTTCGTTTGGACCCCCCCACCTCCAAACTGAGTCCTGACACTGCAACAGCATTTGCAAGCTTGCTCCGAGTGAAGCTTGCTCCATGCCCGGTCAATCTGATGTTCTCGTATGTTGAAACCCTTACACCGGGGTTTCAGAACCCATTTGCCCCACGCGAAATCCGCAAGAGGTATATGACTCGATCCCCGGCCCTTGGCTGCCCCAGCGAATTTCACGGACGAGATGCGACACATCGGAACCCATTGAGGAGAACTCGTTATAGGGGCCCGCTGGCATACAGTCGAAAGTAGATTGCACAGTTTCCCCAGTTGCTTGCTTACATGCAAGACAACCAACTATGGCTAACACCAACCGAAATCCGTATGTAGTGCTTCTAGTCTGACACGGACATCTACCCAAGTTGCTACTGGAAATCCCGTGGGGTTAGAACCCATGGGCATGAAAATGACGGGGGGTCCCATAGGTGACTGAGCTGGAGTCCTCCGCCAACTTCCCCTCGGAGATGGACAAGTTCCAGCAGGTCCTGACGCGCGTGGACGAGTACAACGCGGTGCGCATGAAGCTCACCGCGGAGATGGCGGCTGCTTGGAGCAGAAGCCAACACAAACCACGCCAGAAGCCGATTTCCCTGGGTGGCTTTGGTTGTGACTCACGATTTCACACCTTTTGGGCATTTGTAAGGTGGATTGGGCATTTGTATACGGTGCGTTTCCTTTGGGGTGACGTTCATAGAATAACAACGGCCTGAAGGAGAAAGGGCAGGATGCTGGAAACCTGGATGATGAATGGTTCTACCGAATGCCTCTTTGTCATGGTATGCTGTACACAATACAATACGCATCTTTATAACAGTCATGGTGGTGGTTCTGGTCAGAGCAGCGGTGGTAAACACATGACAGACCATCTATCGTTGGAGGGGCTGCAAGAGTGTGTTTGCTTCAGGTTGGATTTGGACGATGATGGATTTGGTTGCCCTGGTGCGATTCCTAGGCTGTTTGCGATTGGTACGCACTGTGTTGATTTGTTGCTCCTTTGCAATGCTTTCTTGAGTGCAAATGATGACAGACCAAAGGGCGCCACTATCTGACATCAGCGTTTTGCCGAGGGACGCAGATGTCAGGCCTACTGAGATAAAGGAGCAAGGAGGGCAAACATTCAGCGTGCTTTTTTTCCTCTGCCAGAGCCAAGGACAGCGCAAACTTGGTCAAGGCGCTCATCGTAAAGGCAGAGGACTACAGGATGCTGTCTGACATGCAGCATCCCGTCGGCCGTCAGCGTTGCCACGAGTTTACACTTGGCTTTCTCGGGGCGCTATATACCGGGGAAACTTGCCATGTTTTTTTTTGCCCAAGGCGGTTGAGAGCTTTGGGTGCCAGCAATGTTTGTCAATGGTAAGTTTCATCTGTCATCTCCTGAACCAAAGGTCGTTTCAACAGTCTTCTTGTTTACCAACCTGCGGGAAAGGCTTCTGAAGACATCAAGGCGAAAGTCAGAAACTCGCTGGACGGCCATAGGCCCAGATTTGCCCGATTCGGGCTCAAGAGACTGGGTTCCCTGTCAAATCTATCAAGAAACAGTCCAAGGATGAGCTCAAGCTACGCGAAGTTTTGGCCTAATGATGTACCCACTACTACCCACTACATTTACATCTTGAGAATATGTCTCCGTTCCCAGGTGCTTAGGTCCCAAGTCTGTTCCTGCTCCCCTTTCCGGAATCCCTCCGAACTGCGGTTTGGCTCGCGAAGTGCGGATCCTGATGAGACGGATCCCCCAGAAAACGAGCCAGGCCTATTCACGAGGGTTTTGTTGCCTGGTGTCCATGCTCAGGCATTTGAAGAAGGTCTTCGGCAGCCTTCAGCAGACCAACAGCGACCTCATCGCTGAGTACAACAAGCGAGCGAACAACCACCAGCAGCTCCTAGCGCAGCTCAAGGACCTTTGACTCGGAGGGGATTGGTTTGTTTCCGGGAAGCTAGAAAGCTGCCAAGGGGGCCAGGGCTCCTTAAAAGATACATTTTGCAACCATTTGAAACATGGCTTTTTCCACCAAAATGAAGGGAAACCACCATTTACAAGGCAATGTTCAGGTGTATAAAGCATCCGGATCCCTGTTCCAGGAAGCTGGAAAGCTGCCAAGGGATGGGTAGAGTTCATGCTTTTAACTCTGCGCACGAATGCGCTCAGGGAACTCATTTGGGTGGTTAAGCTCGTGAAGGTATCCTTTTTTCAAATTGCATTGTTTAACGAAGCCTGGCCAAGCAACTCTCTACGTGTGTTCGTTTGGTGTGTGGACAGCTCATGGCCCACATGGCCATCTCAAACGGCATGCATGCTTTGTAAGGTTCCCCGCCAAGCCTGCTTGGGTGTATCCTTCTAGCCCCCTGTTTCAGGGTTCCCTCTATTCCCCCCTTGGTTCCAAACATTCGGTGATGGGATTTGAACAGCGTTGCGCTACTCCATACCATCGCCTACCTTGGTGTGATGTAAGCTTCCCCAGAAGTAGTTCCTTTTTGTTTTTTGCTTTTTTGGGTCCCCTTTGTTTTCCACTAACCAGGCAAACAAGATACTTGTTTTGCTGGGGGTCCTAATTCCAGCCCAGTAAAAAGCTTGGACAGCGCCCAGGAAGTCAACATGATGATCCAGAAAGCCGCCAAGCTCCGGGTGGGCACCGCAAAGAGCCGGGTGGTGGCGGCCTGCCGTCAAGCCATCAAGCAGAACAACATCATGGGCCTGTGCCTTGGTGCCGTTCTTGGGTGTTTTCTTGTGGTTCATGGAAGGTTCATGCGTGGTTTGTGGATTTTTTGAATTCGCGACCCATTTTTGCGCTTGAATTCTTGGCTCCCTTTGTGTTATGGTTTGCTTATGATTCATGCATGGGGAATTCTGGCCTGCGACTTGACGGCGAATTTTGGCCTGCAAACTTAGAACAGAGGAACTCCTGGTTTCGGGTGGGTGGTATGCCAATGGTCTGCAGAACATCTTGTCAGTTATGATCCAAAAAGTGGGATGTAAGCTTGGGCCACTTCCTCAAACCCAGCTAGGCAGTTGCGCATTTGAATGCCAGGTGTTCAATCTGACTTTGTGTTTATCTCACACAGGGAACCCCAAGATCTTCTATGACCATATATTGCCCCCCCCTAGTTTTGGGTCATGTGTGGAATGGTCTATTTGTGGCTCAAATTCTGTTGGGGTTCACTGTGGTTCACATCATGGCTTATAGGGCGACCCATGGAATTGTTGAATTCCATGCTTATATTGTGTCCCCGATGCGGGAATGGCTAGATAAGGACTTTCACTGTCCCCCCCCCACCCCAATCCTCCCCATTAAGTGTTGAGGTGGAGACGCAGCCAACTGTTTTTGTGATCACTCTTCAAGTCGCCCTGGTGTGTCGTATTGGTCGTTCCCATGGGTACCTCGAACTGGTGATGCCCTTCGTGCATGACTTTCAAGCGCAACGTGCAAGAGACCAGAAGTGGTCGCATACTATTATTTGCAATTAAGACACAACAAACAGAAACACACGAACCATGTACAGAGGAATCAGTTGTTGATGCTGCCCGGTCCGTTTGCAGACTGGATGGCTTTCAGGGTCACTCGGTTTTGTGCTGATCTGGGGTTCCCCTATAGGTCTTTTGGTGGCAATATGATCAATATTTTTGCCCGGCGTTCAAAAGACGCTCGTCTCAACATGGCGGCCTCTTCTTCTCAGGGTGCCAAAGGGACGCACATAGGAACACTACTCAGTGACAATGGGTCAAGGCATCTGAGCGAAGGACAGAGCTCCTCAGCTTGGACAATCTAGGTGAGGATTTTAATGTTGAACCAAAGAGCCGAAAGGATGTTCTGTAGAAATCTGTAGAAACGGGTTCGCATGTGATCCGATCCACACCTTGCATCTGTACACAAGTGCTGACTCCCAACATCAGCAAGAATTACACCAGACGCAGTCTTCATAGGACCTGGCTTGGGATTGAAATGTGTATCAGATTGTCACCCGTGCCCACGCTTGGGAGCCACACGGTGTCAGTCTTTCCCAAGAGGGGGGGGGGTTGGATCATTCTGGTTGACTTGGACCGGTGGGATGTGCAGATGTTTTTGAGGTCAAGTAGAAAGCCACACTTGAAGGTGTAAGCGACACCAAAATGCCATGAGGGAACTGCGTTTTGAACAGTTGCAAACTGATATTGCTGACGCGCCGTCCCTTGTGCAGGGGGCTCCCTTAGCTCCCAACTGCGTCGCTAGGAAACACCCAGATGGACTGTAGCCCCTTAGGCACCCAGCAAGGAGCAAACAAGTAGATCCAGGCGGTTGGGAGTGATGCCAGACCAGATCGCAGCCTTTGGCAGCTGAGGTTTCAGATCATCAGGACAGGCCACGACGCGTCAGGATGATCCCAGAGGGATGGCAGAATTCCTGTGCGAGTGCATGTGGAAAAAAAGGCCCGGCAAATTGTTTCGGCAATATGTAGGGCAGTGCAGATGTGATTTGGGAGCAAGGCAACCTCCTGAACACGCTTGCTTCATATTCAGTTGGTGAACAATCCGAATATGTGTAGAAGGTTTCAGCACTTGAATCAGCATCCTTATGCATCTCTACTTTCCCAAATTCGATGGAATGCCACTCAAAAGCACAATTAGCTTGTGAAGCCTCAGAATCATCTTGAGCCACGGGAACCTACCTGCAACAACTGCGCGTTGTCAGTGAGACTGCTGTTTGGGCAACACACATTCCCAGACATCAAGGCAGCATAGCATGCAGGACATCCCGATTGAATTGAGGACCTTTGGGCTGTCAAGTCTAAGCTAAGCCCAAGCGGTTTTGCCAAGGAGAGGTTTGCCAACCACTTCGATTTGCTGGTCCGTGCTGTGAACCACAAGGACTGGGAACGCTCAGCCGCTGGCTCCGTGAGAGCGCCTGGCGCATGCCAGATCCATTGGATCAAACCGCACCTTGCATGCCAGGAAGCAGCCTAGCAGCTGTTATAACATGTTCATGGAACATCCGGAACCCCGCTAGCAACATCTGGAACACTTAGGCACTCTGATAATGTAATAACACGTGTACAAGGCATTGGTGTATATATATATATATATTTGTAACATACACATCGATATGCACAAACACGTGTGCATGCATAGTTATTATGTGCCACGTATGAATATACTCAGAATTGTGCATATATGAGTGCATATATGTATCTGTGTGTTTGATACAGATGTATGTTTTATACATATGCATACTTTCTACAGATGTAGATGACTCTGTACAGCATATATAATATATATATATACATAGGCTGCTGTCGGCATGAATTTAAGTTATGCGATTGCCAAATCACTTTCCTGTGCCTTGGCACTGGGTTCCGCTGCGCATTCCTTGCTTCAAATAGCCCTGAATCGACACCTTGGATTCATGCAGCCAAGACTGCGGCAGGCCCTCCGTCGATGAGTGTGAGCCGAATCATAGTGATTTCTCAACGAGAAGCGCGTACGGTTGAGAAGCCACCAAAAATAGATGACCCGGTAATTCGTTTTGTGTTTTCGACGTCCAGATCCTTAATTGAGCGGGACTTACTTGGTTTAGGCGGCTTTGATTGTTCGACCTCAGGACTCAACAAATCCAAGGCTCTGGTTTGGGGACCTTTGACCTCACTCCCCTTGAACGGGTCATCATAACCGAACGACTCTCGTTCCCAAACCGACCTGGTGTGTGTGTGTGTGTGTGTGGGTGCGCGCGTGCGCGTGCGCGTGCGCGCGCGCGTTCGTGTGCGCGTGTGCGCGTGTGCGCGTGTGCGTGTGCGTGCGCGTGTGCGTGTGCGTGTGCGTGTGCGTGTGCGTGTGCGTGTGCGTGCGTGCGTGCGTGCGTGGGTGGGTGGGTGGGTGGGTGTGTGTGTGTGTGTGCGCGTGGGTGTGTGTGTGTGTGCGTGGGTGTGTGTGTGTGTGTGTGTTTGTGTGTGTCTGTGTCTGTCTGTGTGTGTGTGTGTCTGTGTGGTTGTGTGTCTGTGTGTGTCTGTGTGTTTGTGTGTCTGTGTGTCTGTGTGTGTGGGTGATTTTGTTTGTGTTTGTTTTTTTGGCGGCGTTCGCAGATCTGGATATTCGGCATGAACAGCTAGAATTTCGATGTACTTTGCTGTTTAAAGAAAACTATCCAAGGGCTTATCCCTCCAACATACCACAAACCACATCAAACCGTTATGTGAGGGTAGCCATAAGTACGCATAAGTATGCACCAGGAGAGTCAGGGGAACCGCCCAAATACAAAATGGTTACACAATAGCTACATATTTAGGGGTACCTTCCCCATTCTTTCCAGGGATCCGAATCTTTTCAGGAAACCATCAAAAACCCAGGGGAAACGGGATCACCCCCTATCATTTTCCATGGGTTTGCCTCATGATTGCCCGCAGGCCTCATGATTTGCCTTGAAACTTTTCCCCAAAACAGCGGCCAACCACTGAAAAGTTGACAAGCCCAAGAACTGTTCCCATGTTCCACTTGGGTCGCTGAGCAGTTGGGCGGTTGGGCCGAGCCAGGTCCCTTTGTTTTGGATTTGCTTCGGAAATGCCAGCCCCATTTTGTAGTTGTTTATTTGCGGGAAAGCCAGGCGAGCCGCCAGCTTTTTTTGTTCGGAAGCACCAGCCTCAAAAGAAGTGGGCCAGAGTTTCGGTTCGAAAATATCAGCCGCAAACGAAGTGGGCCAGCGTTTTTGTTCGGTTTTTTTTCAGCCGCAAAAGAAGTGGGACCTTTTGGATGCAACTGCAGAGAGAGAGAGAGAGAGCCTCAAGAGATACTTGAGGAGGTCCAGCAGTGGCTGGCCCAGCAGGGCCTTGAAAACGTTACGGTCGAGAAGGGCTCAAGTGGCTCCGGTTGCGAGGCGCGAGCCGGAGCGAAAGGTTTCCTTGCAGGCACTGAGCAGAAATTCACCTTGGCCCAGGGATAGTTCTATGTTCTCTTTGCTGGGGTCTCGTTTGGAGGGGAATGTAGAGAGCTCTGGCGTTTTTCTTTTACATGTGATATTGAGAAGTGAGGTGTTGTTTTTGCATTGCTACGGTTTGTGCTGTTTGATGATGTATATCGCCAACATAGGGACTTTGCTCGAGTGGCCTGGCGAGGCGCCAACGTGAAGCCACCAGTTGCAGGGTCTTTAGGGATGAGTTGAAACAGGTGACCTAGCCAATTCATCGTGACACGTCCGCTATGCTGACTCCACCTTTCGCAGATATCATGAGTTTGACTGATGACTGTTCGGGAAACCGCCAACACCAATTTGTTAGAAATTGTCAACACATTTAGCCCGGGGCCGCAACAAGCAGGGGTGCCTGGTAGTGTGTGGGGTCAACACAAGCTAGAGCCCAGAATGAGCCCAGAATGCAATGCCATGACCTGTGCAGGTTTGAAGGGATGTGGCTTCATCCTGAGCATGAGAAGTTGGCCCAATGGTTTGACGACAATGTTAATTAGGGTTCTTACCACAGCGTTTGGTGGTGTGGTTTGGGTTGGGCAGGCCAAAGAGGCCTTTATTGATTGAGGTCCTGCCTCTAAAAGCATCCCGTTGAGCATTCAAGGAGCATTCACGCGTTGCACCGAGTAACAGGCGACACCAAACCTGTGCGGTTTACTAGCCGCTTTTGGGCGTGTGAAGGTTCATTGAAGCAGCGCAACAAGTACTCGTGTTACACACAGACGTCAATGTCCGTGTTTTGTCCGGTGTTGTTCTTCAGTAGTGGCTCTCATCGGAACCCCCCCCTTAGTTTATCATTGCTCGAGCCCTGCAAGATACGAGTGGGGTCCTTGGTGCATTTTGCTTGGATGTTGGGACTTTATCTTTTTGCCAACTCATGGGTTTTCCATCGAACCACTAAAAGTTAAACGTTTAGCAGGGGAGCAGAAAGCCACCGAGGGCGTTTTCGTGGCGTGTCGACGGAGTTGACTTGCCACGGGCGGTTTCCCAGGGCCCACGTGAAGGTTTCCCATTTCTCAGCCGAGGAGATCCAGGTCCTGCAGTGAGCCTGCAACACCTTGCTACGGAGGTGTCGTTGAGTTCTACGGGGCCTTAAATCCTTAATGGGTTCCCGCGTTCGAACTGCCAGGCCTGAAGAGGCTCCACTTGATTTTTGAATGTGATCGCATCCGAAGTTAATGCGATCCTCAATAGTTTTTGCCACATTCTATGAGAGCCCGGCCGGAACGTGGATTGCCACCGTTGTTTCAGAATGGAAGAAGATCTGATAATGCCACATGAGTTTACAACTTGCGACAAGAAATACGTCGAATTTCTCCACATGGTCTTCTTTTGATTAGTTTTGGCTTGCAGTTTCGAGAATCCAGACCCCGAGGTTAGTATTCAAGACAAATTGAGCAACATCGAAGTGCACGTCTGAACATTGAAGTTCCGGCTGTGTGGTGATCCTTTCCGCGAATCCGAGTGTGGGCCAGACCAGGTTGGTCAAAACGTAGCTAGGCATCGGCCACAAGCGTCCTGAGGCCCGTTTTGCAGCATGCCCGTCCCCTTCAAGCTACCCAATTGTACCCTCAAAAGATGCCCAGGTGTATGTCCAGTCGTGCAAATGGCTGGCTCATTCCCCCCCCCTTATCTTGTTGTTTCCCCCGGCCCCTTTTTCGGCAACCAGTTTTTTTGTAGCATTTCAGGATGGTTTGCGAAATTGCCCATGTGTAGGATGCCCCTAAGGAGCACCATTTTTTTAAATCATTGTTGTGGTTTCAGCTGAAGGTCACTTGGCGATTTGCAGATTCCCAAGCCACAGACTGAGCTGGCTGCATGCGAGTGTAGTTTGATACCCTAGGCCAAGAAGCATGCTCTTGGATTCTTGGATGCCAAAGGTTGGTGTTCTTTATGTAAAAGTTGGTTCTTTCCAAACACAAACCGCTTTCTTGCAGACGCACATGTTTCTTGCTTGGAGGTTCTGCACGAGGTGATTGGCTGCAAATGGTTCGGAAGTTGTTTCTCTCGCTTTCGAGAGGTACGGTACGTGTTGTTTCGCATGGGGAAGCTTCCTCCCGATTGGATCGGAACGTTTGTTTGAATCAAGAGGTTGTAAGTGCGGTACCTCTCTGGCCTACGAATCGCCATGCAAAACGAGCAACTTGTCAGAATAAGTGAAGCCGGGGAAGTAAGGTCCGTCCTATAGAGGCAGCAGGCACAGCAAGCACGTGGATCCATCGGTGGCCCATGCCATGTAGAGAGAGAGAGAGAGACAGAGAGCGGATAGGGGCTCGAGAAAACAGAGGAACCCTGGCTGAACGCTTTAGCGGACAGAGAGATGTATGTCGGCTCAAAAGAGTTGCGTTCCCTGCCTGGTGGCCCTGTTCGAGGTCCAAGAGGGGGCGGGCATCTTAGGACATACACATGTCATTGAAGGCAGCACTTGCTG